ATATGTTATAGTCAAAGTGTTAACTTTAATAAACGTATACACTTACTAGTCAATGTATACATTTACGTAAAATAAATGTATACATTGACTACAGCAGACTATACAATAAGTATATACATTTACTGAGTTAACACTTTAACTATAACATATATATGTATATGTTTATATCATACGAAATAATTTAACTGCTCTCCTCACATTTTCTTTCCTTTTCTTTTAAGAACATATATATACGGGAAAAATGAAAGATCTAAATGTTTGCTTGATACAGAGAGAGAGAGAGAGAGAGAGAGATCTAAAAATAATTTTGTTGGACTATCAAAATAATTGTGTTGGAAACTAAAAAATGATGAGCAAAAAATTTTGATATTCTAACAATCAGTTTGAGTTTCAAAGAAAATTATTTTTATGGTTCAATAAAATTATTTTGAAATCTATATCCAGCAAAATTTTAGATCTTTTAGCAAAATCGTTCTTTTCGTACAGTTAAAAAATAAAAATAAATCAAATCAAAACTGACGGAGAGAGACAAAACGAAATATAAAATATTATTTCTACAAAGCTTTTAATTCTCAAAAATAACGTAATTTGCCCGTAATTCGCTAATAATATATGTTTCATTGAAATAATATGATTAAATGGATTTACTCGCCGTTGGCAATTTGGAGTTAAGTGTTTTATTGAATTTTCTCAATTTATTTCCAACTCAGAAAAAACGGTTTTACTGAAATATCTAAAAAATTAAACTAAATACAGATATATATAGAAAAATGATTTTGCTAAAACATTTAAAACTTCAGCTAGATGCAAATCCGAAAATAATTTTGTTAAACTATCAAAATAATTATGTAATACGCTCAAACTGGAATATCAAATTTTTTCAGCACTGCTCATCATGTTTAAGTTTCCACTGAAGTTTCAGATATTTTAGCAAAATAATTTTTCCCATGATTAATATACTCGAAAGTGATGTGTAATAAATAATAATATAATTTATGCTGTATTTATATATTTCTCGTATTACAAGACAGTGTTGACGATGATAATGAGAGGACGAAAACACAGCCTCATGTAAGTCGCATATTTTACGTGCGGAGCCTTTTCGAAGTGACTGGCCGCTTTGTACTCGCAACGAAAGACCATCAGTATATATGTATATCATAAAGTATATACTGTAAGCAACTTTATCAGCAACGGTGATATCTTCGATTGGCGCGTTACGAATGCCGATTGTGTGCATTCGAGTTAGCGCTCCGTCAAGGAACTTTTTCGTGATTTTGCGTCGCCTATCAATCGAGCCTCGAGATTCATGTTACGATAGAAGAGCTGAGATATTTTTGTACATTTAATCTGATGTAAGTTTGAATAGAATTCTATCGCGATATCATTCACGACAACGATTAGAATTTCACTGATGGCAAAAATAGTTGCAATTATTATAATTTGACTATAATTTATAGTAATTTTCGTGTCAATTATATGTTTTTCAAGAATAATAAATTATAAAAAATTATTACTAACATTACATATAGCGGTGATATGTAACTATAAAAATGCTTGATCAGAATTGTTTTACCCTTCAATAATAATCACAAATACCCACACTTTTCTTTCAGTACCTACAGCAATATTACACGGAAAGAATATTTTGCTTAGGTATCTAAAAATTTAGTTAGATACAAATCTAAAAATAATATTGTTGGACTAAAATAATTATGTAGAACGCTTAAACATTAATGACAATGCTGCAAAAAGTTTCAACATTCTAGCCACCAATTGAAGCGTTCTACATAATTATTTTAATGGTCCAAAAGTATTTTCAGATCTGTATCCAGCTAAATTTTTAGCTTATTTCAGTAAAATCATTCTTTCCGTATAATATCGCTGTATTACACTAAAAGAAAACCGTTCGATATTCTTCTTTTTTTTCGATATATTCTTTCCATGTAATTAATTCGACGATATCGGTCGATGTTTCAAAATGCAGCAATACATCGACAGAACTCTAAATGTTTGTCGAACGTTAAATCATTGCGAATGTTAGCACGCGTTTTTTTCATAGCAAAAGTAAGTACCGGCGTAAATACCGCCGCGACTCGGTGTGGAACACCACGCTGGTCGTTGCTCTCGTGAACCCGTGAACTACGGTAGGATTTTTTTTCCCACCGTCGTGTTCCCTTAACTTCTTCGCTCGAGCGTGCACACGAGCGCGTACATACATACGTAGACCGCGATTATGCGAGAGCGCGAATCGATTGAGCGTCGAATCGGCGAAAGTCGCCGCGAACTTGACATCGCGCGGTCAGGTCTGCTGCTGCTCCGGATGAAGGTTCACATGTCGTCGCTGTCGTGCGATGTCGTCCTCGTTGTCGACGCGCGAAACGTCCCTTGATCGCGTTATGCGGGATCTACAATAGAAGTCGTAGCGGTCGTAAGGTCTTAAGTCGTAGAAAATTGACCAATCACAGTTGATTATTCTTCTCATATTCGACTGTGATTGGTTAATTTTCTATGACTCAAGATCCTACGACTGCTACGACTTCTATTGTAGACCCCGCGTTACTCAGACATGCGGTCGAAGGCTTAAATTTTTTAAGAAAAAAGACAACGCGTCAATTTAATCCCACAATCAGTTTAAACTCTTAATAAAAATGCACATACAGGATGTCTCACGGTCTGTCACGCTTCGATTGTAACGATACTAATTCTCTCATGACCTTCGAATCAACATTGTGCTCAGTGCAGCTCAGTGAAAAAGTTAAGAGAGTAACCCTTGGCTGCAATTTTTCGATATCTAACATTATTTATAAATATACTAATATATCACATCTTAAATGAAAATTTGATTATAGTTCATTAAAAATTGACTAATGCCTGTTTATGTTAAGGTAGATTAACTTTAATCTTGCACTGAGAAAAATGATCTGGTTGGATTAAATAGTAATTCTGGTGGAAAATGGACGAATCAGAATTTTCTGGTTAAATCTATTAGAATTCTAGTTGGGATAATTAGAATTCTGATTGATATAATTATTCTGGTAAAAATGAGAATTCTAATAGATTTTACCAGAAATATTGTATCAACCAGAATTTCTGTTATCTCAATTAGAATTCTAATAAATTTAATCAGAAAATTCTGATTCGTCCATTTCAACCAGAAATTTTTTTCAGTGTGGTTTAATTTATTTATCTTTTTCGAATTTTAAGAATTAAAGAAAAAGATAAAGTGTAAATTAAGCCGAGGTTAAATCTACATTGGTAAAAGTAGACTGCACAACAAACATATAATTCTGGAAATAATCCTTAAATTAGTTGCAATTTTTCAATGTTTAATATTATCTGTAAATATATATTACGCTTTAAAACAAAATTTGATTACGATTCACTTAAAATTGACTATTTAACTTTTTCAAGTTTTAAAAATTAAAGGAAAAAGCAAAGAGTAAATTAAAATCGAAATTATAGTTAATCCACATTAATAAAAATGGACACAAAAGATGTAATTTTAAAAACAATTCTTAAATTCGTTGAAATTTTTCAGTAGCTAACATCATTTATAAATATATATCGCGCTTTAGATCAAAATTTTAATTACAGTTTACTCAAAACTGATTAAAGCCAATTTTTAGTAGATTATATAAAGTAGATTAATTTTAATCTCTATTTAACTTACTTTTTTTACCTTTTTCGAGTTCTAAGAAATAAAGGCAAAGATAAAGAATAAACTAAACCGAGATTAAAGATAATCCAAGATAATCTACATTGGTAAAAAGAAAGAACATATTATTCCGTTGTTCATTTATTCTTCTGAAACTTCATTCGCGAAGACTTTTTTTCAATCGCTTGATGCCTCTGGGACCATGAATTTCCTGAATTCAGTAGTAAGCAAAAACATCAGAAAAACATTCGTCGTAGCTCGCGACGAGACGAACGGCTACGATGAGAAACGCCCGCCTGTTCGATCAGTATGCCGAAAACGAACGAGAGGGAGGAGACGAAACCGTGAAGTGGTTGTCGCGAGTGTTCTCGTGGTCGACAGGCGAATCGAATCAACGCTGCATCGTTATTAGCTCCTTTAGTCCTTACGCTTTAATGCTTTACCATAATAGTATACAATACCTTTAGAATACTACTTCCTACTACGCATTTGGAAAATTAATCATCGCAATACCGACAATTTGGTGACTATAATTTTGTTGACATGCATTGTAAAATATTATCGATTCGCGAGAAAATTAATTAATTATAAAAGCTAAAGTTGATTTTTTTTATTGCACAGAAAGAGAAAGAATATTAATTATCGCAGCGACTGTAATTTAATAATTGTAAATTACGGTAATTATAATTTGTTACAATTATATTTCCGAGCCTTTGCAGAATATTTCCGAGAATGTTATTTCAATAAGAAAAATGTTTATTAGAAGAAAATATTAGCGACAATCTTCAGTTTAAAAATTCCCTCATTTGAATTATTATAAAAAAGAAACACACACTTAACGAGAATGTTTAACGTTACAATTCTCTTATTTGAACGTTAAAAAGAAACTTTTAACATGACAAGCTTAGCGTTAAAAAAGTTATCCCTCGTAGAAGTTATTTCGCGCTTCAGAGAGCGCATATCGATGCGTTTGTTATCAAAAAAACAGCGTTATATATTATTTTCAAAAGGGAGAGGGATGAAAGGATAAGAGGGAACAAGAGTGTATAGAAAGTACATGCAACGTTGCGGGGTATATTATGATCGAGCTGTGCACCACCCCAGTAGCACCCACCCGCCCCCGGAGGTCGACGACGTGCGCCTACGAGGAGGCGTCGCGACGGCGACGAGGAATTATGCGCGTTATCGCGTTCGTACCGGACACCGTCCGGTTCGGGGCGGGGGCGACAGGCATGCACCGAGAAGTACGGGGGATTGCGGGAAGGGAAGGACAGGAGAGAAAGGAGCGGTGATCACAGCACAAAGGGGGTGCGTGGGGGGGGGGAGAAGAAGAGGAACTCACCCTGCGATGCGAAGTGCTTCGTGACCATGATGATGCGCGCGTGGCTCTTCTCGCTGGCCCGAAATTCAGAACATCGTATCCTCCTCCGCGGCGCGCGGCAACGAACCCTCGACGCGCACGATTGAAGAGACAGGCAGACGGGGGAGGGGGTCCAGCGGCGTATCCCGGCGGGCGATGCAAGTACGAGGTAACCACCGCTACCCCCGCGAAGCGGACGCGAACGTCACCGGAAAAAGGGTATCGCGAAGGGGGGTTGTTTCGTTCCGTCAGAGAATCACATGTTTTCGCGTTTCGTTTAAGTTCACCGCGTTCTCTCCGGGGGAGACTCTCGGGAGTCCTCTCGGACTCTCGGGTCCAGGGAAAGGACGACGGGCGCGCGCGACTAACGACGAGGGTGGAGAAGATAGTATCACCTTTCGCGCACCGCCACTGCCACCATCAACACACAAGCACACCACCCGCGCACACGTTTACCCCGCACAACGAGCGACGCACGTGCCCGACAGTTGCTATCCAACTGACGCGGCCCGCGATTCTGCGATCCCTCGATGCCTCGATTCCCTCGCCGACCGCGCACCTTTCCCCTCGCGCTTGCCGCTCCAGGTCCTGCGCTCCCCGCTCCGACTCGGGGGCTTCGGCTGGCGCCTCTCTGACAGTTCGCGGAGTCGACGTTTTCCGAGCGTTCTCCGGACAGTCCGCAGACCGCAGGCACCGGAAGAATGCTACCATCAGTACCATCTGTGTGTATCGGAGCTCAACGGCTGACCAACTCAATCGGTAAGAAGGAAAATTACCTAGACAGCACAGAATATTTTATTATTTATTTTTTGAAATGTTATGGAAATATTTTATACGTATCTTATATAAAGCTTTATTCGAAGTATTATTAAGATAGATTATGATATTTATGATAAATATAAATAAATATTTCTGTTAAGTATTTTTTTTATTTGAAATATATGTGTTATTTTTCCATAGCATTTACTACAAGATTTACAATAAATATTTCATAATATTTATAATAAACGTTTATGATCTATGCAATCCAAAGACCACAAAAATATTTATAAAATATTTAAAATAAGACTTATAAGTATTTATAAATATTTTGTAAATATTTTATAAATATTGTGTGCTGAGTATACATTAAACATATGTCTCGAGATATCATTCCTCACTTTTGATAAATTTTGAATATGTATTATAGATTAAAAATAAGAAACACTGCCCTCTTTAAATTCTTTGGAAAATCTCACTCTAAAATCTCTCACTCTAAAAAACGAAAATTGAGCCAAACCTGAAAAAGAGTGTGTTTTTAATTGTATGTCGTGAATGATATTAAAAAATATTAATTATAATTAAAAAATATTTTAATAGAAATTTAAATACATAAATTCAAATATAAAAATATTTGAGATATTAAAAAATATTAATTATTAATTTTATAAAATTTTCATAGTTTTTGAAGGCATTTTATATGTTCAAAAATATTATATTTTTCAAAATGTACATGCTATATGTTTTTCTTTTGTAAAAGGAAGAATTCGGAGAAAAGTCCAAATGGCCCTTTTCCTAGAAATTTACCGAAGAAGAACGACGTTAAATTTGTCTTACATTAGACACATATGAAGAACCACCGGAAGAACATCCGGTGCTTTTAAAATATTCTGTACATATATATTAGATACTGTTGATGAATATATTAATTTTGTTTTCGGCTGGATCAATTACACCATTTATATTAAAAGTATAATGACAGTTTATGAAAAGAATAAATCAAAAGAATAAAATCTTGCACATAATACTTTTAGTTATTCTCAAAAACAAAGAAGTTTCTTTCTTCGAAAAGAATTCTATCCCATAATTTCAAATACGTTTTCTTGAGATCTATATAATTTTTTACAGTTATATTATTAATTCAGAAATATATGATGTATAAGTCCAAAATGTACGAAGAAAAAATTGTTGTATGATAATAATTGAAAGATGGCGTCTTCGGTTTCTTTTCTGCGACAGATAAACAGGTTCTTCTGGAATTATATCTGTATTCTCTGACTTTCGAGCGTCTTTGTTAGGCACCACTTTGTTGCGATTCATCTGACTCCTTTCTGCACACGTGTCTACATTAGCATAAGCGATATTACGCGGTCAATGGCAGGACCGAAGGCACCGATCATCATTATCTCGCGACCGTATTTAGTCTTCCGGAAGTGCGCTGCGCTTAAACAAATCCGCAACTTGTGCGATGCAAACGAAGTTATGTCAGTTCATTCGGTTTCGAATCGCTATGCACGAACACGTATTTGACGTAATTCTTCAAGATTCACGCGATTTATTGTTTGTCTTTTGACTAAGATAAATATTTAATACTATACACAGAAAAATACATATATTGTACGCAATATATTGTTTACGCATAAAATATCCAGCGTTGACTTTTATGCTCCTAATCTATTTTATTACTGAGAAAAAAATATTCTTTAAAATAAAGACAATTTTAAATAAAAAGACAATCGTTACTTAAAAGAAAGAAAATAAATTGAGTAATTTTCACTTTCTTAACAATGGAACGATATTTTTCTGTGTGTAAAAGTATCGAATCATTATACTGATCGCTTCTGTTTTTTTTTTTTATCAAAATATATTTCCTATATAAAAGATGAAACAAAGAGATTCTGTAATTATTTAATTTATCAATAATCATATATCCTTTATACTGAGAAGTACATTTTGTTTTTTGTCACTTTCTTTATTTTCATATAATAATATATTTGTTTTAATCTCTATAGTGAATAAGAAACGTCGGTACTTCTAGTAATAACAGATAAATATTTAAATTTTTTATCCAAATGAATGTTTTGTTATAAATTTCTTATAAAGGAATTGGTTTTGGTATTATAGACAAATTTTGAAAATTCTATAAAGATTATTACTCTTGGGATGAAAAAGGAGTTTGCTTTATTTTCATAATAATTTATATGACTTATAACAACTTAATTTTTTTTTTTTTTTTTTTTCTTTAAAGAGATTCAATTTTTCCATTCTGCTCCAATAACATTCACATTGCAACTTTTTATTTAGAAGCGAGCAGATAGATAGTTGCGGTGCTCGCTTTGCCGACCTCCCTGGGGCTTGGCAACAAGACGATGACGCGAATTCTCGCCGCGACCGCCGTTATGCGCTTGAAAAACCGCAAAGCGATTCGATTCGGTGATCGCTGGCGTGGGTGGCGCGGTTCGGCCTTCTCCGCTTGTGCTAACGACCGCCAATGACGTCATTGTGTCGTGAATGCGCAAAGATGTCTCAAGGAAAACCGTGGATCTTTTGAGAAACGTGCCCGATCCACGGCAGGTTTTTCTATTTAAGTGTACTCTCCTTAGGGCAATCGCTGGGAATTCTGATATACTGATAGATATACTGATATCAATAACGAACTTAACGTTTTATCTGATAGGTGTACTAATGCCATTACTGGATTCAAGGTTTTATCGAGACGTATCTAGGGTGACCATATTATTTTCTTGGATTATATCTAGAGAATTTATAATAGAGAACTGATTGAACTGAATATACTGAGAAAAAAAGGCAAAATATTCAAAAGCAAATGTTACTTGTGATTTTTTTTATTTGTGAGTGACATTTGTTTTATTAATCGTAAAAAAATAGATGTTGATCTATCCTATTTTTCTATAAAAATAAAAGATGGTTTATTTGCTAGGAATAAAATTTTATTTGGCCGTATTTAAATAAGGGTTTATTTCTATGAAATAAACATTATATCTTACAAATATATATATAAATTTTTAAGCATCTTTTCTTTCTCAGTGTAATGATAGAATTTATTGAGACATTTATAAGTTTCCAAAAAGAGAAACAAAATTAAGACCACACGTATATTCTCTGCCACTTCTTTATTTTTATCACAATAAACAACATTTTGTTTGTGTTTAAATCAGTTTAAATCTTGTTAAAATTTTCGTATTCAATTTTTAACATATCTGAGCGTTAATTTAACATAATGTAATTATTATTTAAATATTTTGTGTCAAATAGATATTAATATTGCTTAGTATTAAAATAATACAATTTATAAGTAAATGAAAAATGTTAACAAGGACTCAAATGGACCGTTTCTAACACAAACATAAAATGCTTTTTACTATACGTATTGACGTATATTGCATTTTCCTTGACATACCGCCGCTGTTTTAATGAATTTCCCTTTATTTCAATATTAATTTGAATCTTCCACGGTTCGCCTTCGACGGTCCTCGGTGTCTGCGATCGAGGTGCGCGTGAATCACGCATGCGCGCGCGTCCTCGTTCGACTCGCTCGCTCCTCTCCGCTCGGTTCGGTTCGACGCAGTCGAGCAGAGTAGTCGCTCGCGGTCGTCCGTGAATCACGAACGTCTTAGGAAGAGGGTCGACGATGTCGCTGCTGCCGGGCGCGCTCGAGGCTCGACGAGGACGCCAGCGTCTTCCATAGGCCGCAACGTAACGCGCCGTAACGTGACGTCGCGACGCCACGCGTTACTCAGCGCGTCGAAAAACCACCGTCACGTCTCCGTCGCAGCGGGGAAACGACGGTGCGGCGTTGATCGCATCTCGCGTTCCCTAGTCTCGAGCCCGATGCGCTCCTTCCCGCGAGACCATGGCATCGGTGAAGGTGGCCGTGAGGGTTCGACCCTTCAACAAGAGGTGCGTGTGTGTCGTGCAACTGGTGACCGGAAGGACTCCCTTCGTCTCGTCTTACGACGTAGAATCAACGAATCGCTTATGCATCGGTTATTATGACCGTAGAGCATCGTCATCGTGCTTCTTACCGTCGCGATACTCCACAATTACGACGGTAGAATGTCCGTCCGCGGTGCGGTGCGTGATCGCGACAAAATCCCGTTTTCTTTCTCTTTCTCTCCGGTTCGCCGCCAGTCCGTATCGCTTCGAATTCAGCTGGACACACCGACGCGTGTAAATTTACCTGAGAGATTCACGCGAGCGTAATGAGCACGCTGATCGATCAGAGCCTTAATACAAATCCCGCCCTTACAGTAATCAATTTAATGTAGGCCAATTTAACACTCGAGTAATTTCTTATTCAACTTAATATATATCGGAAATTATATTTACTTTGAATAAAAACACTGTTGTTCAATACTTTAATACTCAAAATAAGTTCTAGTATATTAAATTAGATAAGAAGTTACTAACTTTTTGAGTAATGAAAGAACTATTGTTCGATGCTTTCAATATTCAAAAAAAATAATTTCCAGTATTTTTTAAATTGAAGAAGAAGTTATTTTGAATATTAAAAGCACTGTTGTTCTGTGCTTTTGATACTCAAAATAAATAATTTCCAATTTAATATTAGAAATTATTTATTTTGAGTAAAAAATCACTGAACAACAGTGTTTTTAATACAAAATAAGTAATTGATACAAAATAAAATCAAACAATACGTTAAATTGCGTCGCATATATTCGAGTGACGACACTAGGGCGCATCCAATGCGCACCGTCCGAATTTACCTTGAAAATGACGTTCTCGAAATATTCGAGGAATATTCCAGTTTCTCCTGGACG